CTCCCGCCTCACCGGCGCTGGTTCAGCCCCGCCAGGTTCCTGAGCTGTGGGGCAGAGGGAGAAAGGGGTTAAGTACCGGCGCCCCGGGGGCAGAGGCCACGCTCCCCGAGGCACCGAGGCCTTCCCCCAGCCCTGGAGGTGTCAGCGGGCCTTGCTCCAGAAGAGGCCATGGATCAGGGGTGATGAGGAGGGACCTATGTGCCTGGGGGCTGAAAGGTGCCATTCATGGTCAGAGGATGGGGGTGAATGCAGGAGGGGGGGAGAAGGTTCACCCTAGCTCTAGCCATAAGCCCCCCTTCCACCCCAACTTGCTCTCTGGATCAGTAGGTTTCAGCTTGGTTTTATTTCTGCAGCCACACAGACCCCAAGGTTGAACTTAAGCCTTTGAGGCATTCGGCTTGCTGGTCCATTCTGCAGAGACCTGGAGAGCTCAGCACACCCATACAGCAGCTGCGCCCTCAGACGTGGGAGTCCGCACTGGTTGCCCCTAATAGTTAATGTACTGGGATGGTCTTGCCCTAAAACTAGCTGGCTGCAACCCACCCCCCCTCAGAAGCAGCCTAGTTCCTCCTGCGCGGTGGCTCTGCTGCAGGGTCAGACTAAATATCCGGAAATGGGGCACCTCAAGCCCAGACCACAGGGACACAAACTGCAGGAGAGCCCCGGGCTGATGTGCAGGAGCACAAACATAGCAAGGGACTTTCTCTGGTGGAAGATCCTTCTGGCATACACAGGTGTGAAAGCAGAGAGAGGACGAGAAACACTAAAGATATGAAAGAATTCCACTATAACTGCATGCAGAAGGAGGTGGGATAAATTCTTGAGAACTGCTTCACACAGTCAAAATTATTTCTAATTTATGTTCCAGCCTGTTTGTCTTGTACTGATACAAGGAAAACTTATTTCTGACAACAAGGAAGTCACTTTGCTGCTAAATGCAACAGGAATTGTCCAAAAATAGAATCACAGGGAGTCCCTGAAGCCCTTCAAAAGTCATTCCTGAGTACATGAAGGATTGTTTTGTACCCCAGAGGAAGTGTGCATGGGCACAGAGCAGTCCAGGCTACTACCAAGAAGTGAGTGAATTCTTGGAAGGACACTGCAGTCAACTGAAACAGCCTGAGTAAGTCACCCTGCTGTGGCTCAGGGACAGATGCAACTTCACAAGTGTCCATGGGGGCATGGACCTTCCTGTCAAGGTCTCCAGCACAGGGACTGGCAGAGGAAGAGATCTTGTGACGAGCAATGCAGAACAGTTGTATTTATTCTGATCTCCTTTCTCTCACTCCTAAATCTCACCCTGCAGCTTCAGACTTATTTTTTTATGCTCTGAACTAACTCCAAACTACCTAGAAAATCATCCTCACATGTAGTTAAGTTATGAAAGGCAATTCTTTTCCATGCTGTCCTCTAGATTTGGGAGGAAAAACATGCTGACATTCACCACAGAAGGGAACAGAAACAATTCTGCCCTTACAGCCCTGCTGATTTCAGCATTACTTACAGTAACTGCAGCTCCCATCAGGCCCTGGACAACTGCTTCTCCGGTTGACTGTACCTAGGAGACACAAGGAGAATATGACCTTTTGCTTTCTTCTGCACTTACACTTGTGGCCATCCAAACACAGAAATGTAATGCACAACAAACATGCATTTGCTACAGAGAGGTGCTGACAGAAGTCAAGCACTGAAGACAAATAGCCAGAGATAAGAAACATAGAAGAGATTTCATGGGAATGTATGTCTCCAAACCATCGATCCAGTCTGACAAAGAGGGCACCTATGTGTCATTTTACTAGAAAAGTAACAGCATTTGTGCAATCACCCACCAGGACCAGGTGGTCTCTCAGCAGATGTGTGCTCTGAAAAGCCAGGTCTGTCTGCATGTGCGTTTGGGGAGAAGGGGGACTTGTCCTGTAACAGTACCTGATTAGCTGTATCACTCATGTTCATGGCATCAGCTACTCTGTTTTCTAGGAAGCGCCAAGTGTCCTCGAAGTCAGGGGATGAATCTTGCATCATCACCAGTTCAGTGGTGTTGTAGATGCCAGTGAGCACAGCCCGACGAGTGTACCAGTTAAACTGCAAGGGCATGAAGTGAGAGAGAGAGAAAGGTGTGACCTGAATGTAGATTAAGAACGCAGCTCACAAAAGCAGATTAGAGAACAGCCAAGGAAAACAGCATACTGACTGCATGCTCCTTCCCCACTTAAACTGTGTAATTCGTCCCTGTGATGCAGCAGACCACCAGCCAACACCGACATCTGACAGCTCAGCTGCTCCCGTGGCACCAGGCAGAGGTCACAAGAACTGTATCTAAAACTGCTGATCAAAATCCCCACCACCTGCTTCTGGTCACAAGCAGGCACCTGCAGCAGCCAGCAAGGAATTCTCCCTTGCCCAGATAGCCTGTGTGCGCTGTGCAAGAGTTCTTCTTTGCTTTACAGACTGCTAGCAGGCAATGCAAAGCTCAGATTCTAGAACTGATTAGATGAGAAACGGTTACATTTACTACTGAACTCGAGCTGCTGTTCACACCAGATACAAGCATGAAGAAAGAGAACAGAGGACAGAACTGCGCAAGACATCATGCAGAGATGCACCTTTCCCAAATCCTATCACTGAAATACCAGTACTGCCTGCTGAATCACTAATGCATAAGATCACTGCTGACAGCAATGCTGTAGGATGCATTACAACAGTAAGTTACACAATGCAAAGATGCACAAATAACTCAAACTCATCAGTTTTTCCAGTTGCACTTGAACCACTGGCAGATGAAATACATAAACATTTTTAAAAATGAGTCTTCATTTTCTGCTATCACCTAGAAAAAATACTGGTTGTTCTGTTCACAATTACAAAGTAACAAAAAAAAAATGAAAATACAAGCCTTGATTTTGAAAACAACAGTTGGACTGAAAGCTCTACTGTCTGCACCATGACCTGCAAGCTTTGACAAAGGGAGAAACATGAGGGATGTTGCCAGTTGCAGCTGGACCTCTCAGGTGCCTGAGACCAAATTGTTGATTCTCCTGCTCCAAAAAAACCCACCCGAAGGGTCTCTGAGGCATGGGCATACCCTGCCTAGCTCCTGGCACTGTGAAGAGACACTGCAAGTGACATTAAACCCCTGCACCAGGAAAAAGGGAAGGGGCTCAGCATCACAGCTTCCCAAGAAAACTCCTGTAACTGGTCAGAAGGTGCAAACAAAAGACAGACTTTAGCACTTCTCTTAATCCCTGTGTCAGTGAGGAGACTTTAGGAACAGCTCAGTGCAGACACTGACTCTGACATGTCAATTTGACTTTCATAACCCATAAGGGACTTGCAGATCCTGATGCAATCACAGTCTTTCAGTTCTCTTCTGGTTTGTTCGTTTCATTTTTCCATCATCTTATTTATTTTTCACTGCAGTAGCTTCTCTTTTATACACAGATAAAAGAATCTTATTAAAGTAGTTTGTTAAAATGGTTCATTTAGCTTTTCCCATCTCTCCCTACATCTATATGAATTAAAGTAATTTATTAATTGCTTTAATTAAGGTTATAATTTTCTTTTATTTCCTGCCAGAAAGATGAAAGCTTTAATAAGCTACTGGTATTTTTAGGTAGGTTATTTAAAGGTTTTCAAGTCAAATCTGTAAATGCTACTGCTGGTGGAAGAGACAGCTGCTTCAACAGAGACACACTGAATACTGGATCAACTTCTTAGTCTCAAAAATCTCAACCATTTCATCTGTGTCTTCAACAACAACAAAAAAAAGAGCCTAGGAAAGTAGGTACTTTTAATTTGCACTAATCCCATTAGCACTCATTTGCATTTAGTCCCACTGGCTCCTAAATCTCTTTGAAAATTAGACTACAGCTTATAATGACCCTTGGGTGCCTCTGGAAATGTCTTCCTCATTCAACAAATGGATCATTTCAAGAGATGTGGCCCAACACCTACGTCAACCCATCATTTTACTGAAGTGCTGAGGGGTAGAACCAGCTGCTCTGCAAAGCACAAAAACTTACATCTGTAGATTGGTCTCCAGCATACTGCCATATATCATCAATCATGCTGGTGAGGAGGTTGAGGCTGGAAGGGATGTTATGTGGGAGCAACAGGATGCTCAGAGCCTGCGAAAGGAACACACAGATAAATGGGAGAGTCAAAGAGAGAAGGACATTATATTAAGGCAGATCTACAATGCTCTGCTCTGTTATCTTTTCCCTATTCCTGTTGCCTCCAGCTGCCAGTACCAAGTCCTCCCAGCTCTTTCCAGCTAGCACCGATCTTTCCAACCGGCAGGATTTTTTGGGAATATACAGTGTGGCAGCTGAGCTCAGGCCTCGGCCTGCACTGGAGCCCACAGCTTACCGCTCAGCTCCAATGCCACGTGTTGTCTCTCCCAAGCTGCCTCTCCAGGCAGGGAAACAGCACAGGCTGAGCTGACTCACACTTGCGCTGTGCCCCTACAGGCAGAAAGTCAAACCTGTTATTTCTCTGAATTTGACTTTGAACTCAAAGCATCTACCAAGGGCAGAACAGCCAGCCATAATGGCCCTGCTGGCATCCTGCAGCCTTTGAGCGTAGCAACACAAGGCCAGGAGAGTCACAAACCACCCACGTCCTTCAGAAGACATGTTAATCTGGAACAAAAACATGAATCCTGTCTTCTCTCTCTGCAAGGAGCACTGGTTCAGCTGCCCAGGGGCCAGCAGTGATTCTGGACAACAGAGGCTGACTTTGCAGCAATCTTTGCAGCCCAAGGTTGGAACTGTCCGCTTGTTACTGTGGCCACAATTCAATTCCCTTCCCACCCTGGGAAAAACAGACTGAGACTTAAATCTGAATTTTGAAGCACAGAGCCCTCTCAGTTCACAGATCTATCCCTCAAGGTACCAAGGGTTTGTCACTCACACACTAGGCAGGCAGTTCCTTGCAACAAAGCAGTAGTTCTGCATTTCCAGGCACCAGGTGATACCAGTGCAGGCAAAACAATGCTGCAAGTAGCCTGACTGGCACTGACACTGCAAATGGGACTGAGCAGAGACACAGGTTATCCCTTGGGGATCCCAGATGGGTGGAATGAACAATGGACAAAGGTTTGACTTTCCAGAACTCAATAAATAGTTGTTCTAAGTGTTTAACTGCCTCCTTCCAAGGTTGCTATCCTCTTGAAGGCTACAAATCATCTGAAACCAGCAAGGGTTTCATTTACAACCTTGAACTACTCTGGTGGAGAGACTATGTGGAAGGCCACAGGGTGTTTAAAATACACACAAAAAGAGACAATCTTGATATTCATTCTATACCTGGGGCCATTTCTCAATATATGGAATCAGCATCCTCAGTCTGGCTTCCACAGCATCTCTCAGGAATTGATCTGTAGATTTCTTCCTGGGTAAGGAAAAAAACCCACAAATAGAAGAACATCCAAGTTAAACTCAGTTCTGAACTTTAAAGGTATGAAAAGTATTAAGTATCCTTCATGCCTCTGGTCTAACTCTGTATCTGGGCAGGTGGTTTTATTTGGATAAATTACACTTTTTACTTAAAGTATCTGTGTCCCAGGTGGCCTCTCTGTCTATCCAGTCCCCAAAGTCTGACAAGGAAGATGTCTTTTCATACCCAGTACTCACTCTGCTTTGCCCAACTGCACTAGTTTTTGTTCTTGCTCCAGCAGCTCAGACAGCTTGGTGTTGCACTGAGACACAAAGTGCAGGATCAGTTCACTGCCATCACTGTGAAACATCCCTGCAGCAGCAACAGAGAGACCCAGGGTCTGTAGGGAAAAAGGGAGAAGCACAGACAAGGTCATACACTGCTAGGCAGGATCCAGCTAGGAAAAATGTTGTATTTGTTTTGGGAATGAAGTTACATGAATTTAAACAAAGCAACACTGCATTAAAAAGCACTTCCTGTACATGTTTTCCTTTCTTTAGGATCACTGCTCCACATTGTGCCTTAGTTTAACTCTGACGGTAGCTGGGACACATTCCTGCCCAGTACCATTTGCTAACTAGGGTGTATCGCCCAAGAGTATGTGGGGGAAGCATGCAGGCCTGGCTGTCTTTGGACTTCAGCTCCATCCAGTTTGCAACTGGTTCTTTGCTTCTCTCCCCACATACCTTGGCTCCCTCTGCAATGGCCTCTGCAGTCCAGCCATGTTCAGGCACAAACTCCAGCGCTGCTGTGAGGATTCGATGCTGCAGCTGCTCCTCGCTCTCATAGTCCTCAGACTCCTGGCCGCCCTGGCCAGTGTAACTATGAGAAGGTTACAGTGAGGGGAACGTCACCATCAAACATCAGCAACTTGGACTCTGCCACTCACTCACTGCCACCACTGCGTGCAGGCATGCTTTGAGATCTGCTTTCTTAGTATAAATCTCACCTCCTCTTGTAAAATTCTTCCCTTTCCAGAAAAAGTATTCTTAACCAAACTTTGCCATGAGAGGAGAAGAGAAAAATAAGGGAGGGCTCAGTCTAAGTGCCTACCTGGAGACCTATCAGCCTCAGATTCCCCCTCCTTTAAAAAAAAGCTAAACTATAAGATTTTCCAGTGGAGGAAGTAGGCTTATGGACAACATATTGTTCATATTTTTTGTAGATTTACACAAAAATCCAGAAGTGAAGGCTTGCACTTTGCAGACAAGAGAGGCTCCCTCTTGAAAGCAAGTCCCATCCCGTCTCCATGGCAGACAATGGAATTTGCACTGTCACAACAAATCAGCTCTCCAGCTGCTGCAGTCTGAGTCTCCATTAACTCTGGATCTCATTGCCTCCGAGTTTCAGATGTGAATTTCAGGAAAGCAAAGCCTTCCAATCCTGCTGTCAGCAGGACAGCGCTAGGAATAGCTAGTGGGTTACCTGGGGCGAGGGCCATGAGGTTTCTGTTCAGGCTGGTGATCAGTTGGATGAGAATCGAACTGCTGCTGAAAGGAAGATGCCAATGGCTCCTTCTGCTCATCGGAGACTCTCCTCAGCACAGCTGAGGCCTGCAGAGCACGCTGTGGTGAGTAAAGCTGGCACCTCACCACTGAAAGGGAAACCAAGAGAGTCAGATCTCTCCTTCCTACAAGAGGAAGCACAGGAAACTAAGGTGAAGAAAAGAGTTACAGTAACACAGCTGAAAAGAACAGAAATTTGTAAATGGTATTTTTTTACACTTCCAAGAAGAACCCCTCTCTGCTAAGCTCACATTTACTTGATGAAAATAAAGTGAAAATGTTTTGTGAGAAAAAGGTCCGCAGAGAAGGCATGTATTGCGAATAGACAGGAGTTTCCCAATCTTGGACTGGACACATGCCTTCTCTCCTTTACAGTCCCTGATGAAGGACAAGAGTTAGAGGAAGGAGCTGACCCCTGAGCTCAGGGTAAGAGGAGAGCGAGCAGTCTTAACAGATACAACTCAAATGACTCAAAGGCAACATAGCTTTCAATTACAGCTACTCTCTGAGAATTTTTCATTTAACTGCAGTGAGGTTTTGGGTTTTTTAGTAAGCCTGGGTTGCACGGCCCATGCTTTACAAAAAGCCACCACCAAACGCCCCTTCAAACCCAACACCCCTCCAGTTCCCTCACACACTGCAGGGGTCAGTTTCCAGGCCAGGGAGGTGTGAGGGGCGGGCCGGGCACCAGCCCGGGTCACCTCACACCAGGCCCCGCACAGCCTCCTTTAGCACAGCACTGCACTCCCCAAAGAGACCCTCAGGGGCCAGGCTGAGTGCCTCCGACCCCCCATCCCGCCTGTGGCCGTCAGGCCCGCCTCGGCTCGGCTTTGGGGCCTAGAACTGGGCCTGGACCTTGAGCGGCCCCACAGCCCCGTGGCGCCCCCTAGCGATGCCCCGCCTCTGCCCTTCAC